CGCTTCAGTTTCCTTATCTGTAAGTAGGAGGTATTTATAGTTGTTGTTAGAGTGAAATTAAGTAAGTGAAATAATGCATATAAGGTGTCTAGATTACTACCTGACACATACTAAAACCTTAATAAGTCCTAGTTGTTATTATTATTAACCTGTCTCTTAATAGTACTCTCAAAGAACAATGTGTTGCAGGGTGTGGCTTCCCTCTGTGAAATCAACCTCAAAATTAAAAAGTAGTCCTAATATCCCTAGCTCTCCTACTATCACTATTTCAGAGTTTGTCCTTGCTGCATGTGACTAAACTCTTGAATAAAATTATGTTTTGGTCTCAATGATGCAGCCCAAGACAGCTAGGATGAATATGATTAGAGCAACAATTAGACAGTGAGGCAGGCTAATAGTTTCCAAATACTTAACAGACTACATCAACCTAAGATGCACAGCATACTATGGAAGGAAGCAGACAGCCATGCAACCTAAGTGGTCAATGTCTCTAAGAAGCCTTTTTAGATGTCTGCCCACAGAAAGCATCCAAGTTCAATTCCTAAGTGTTGCCAAATTTCAACCACAAGCTGAAAAATGTGAAGTCTTGGTCTTAGAAATCAAGACACGAATTAAGATCTTAGTTTCTCCCTTTACTAAGGAAAAAAGACAATAGTTACGATTATGCTTCTATTATATATATAGACCCTTTTAATACACTATTTCATCTAATTTTTATGACATCACCAATAGGTGGGTCTTATTTGTTTTACAGATAAATGACGATAGATAAATTTCCTAAGGTCAATCAACTAGTTAGTGAGTTTGATACTGGATATGACTATAGATCATCTGAGTTAACTGCCTCCGTGTGATAAGTTACTTAATGTATTTGCTTGTTTTCTTATTTGCAAAAAAAAAAAAAGAAAAAAAAAGAAAAAGAAAATACACGACTGGGTTATCATAAAGACTAAATGACATGTAGAAATTCCTAGCTCAGTATTTGCCCATATTAAGTATTCAAAAACCACTGTAGAGTTTGAATACTGACAGTTAAAGCTAGCCTTGTAAAAAAACCGTTAGGCAGATGAAGTATGTTCTGTTCTTGATCACAGTTCTCCTTTCCATCTCTCCATTAGCTTTTGTGTTCTTTTTACTCCGTCCCAGACAAAACCTGCTCTCGGGAAAGGATACAGATTATGGGTAAAGATCTCTGGACTTGTCATCACTTCCAGGGTTAAATGGATCTTGCTTAAGGGAAGACTTAAACTTTATTTTTGTAATTTCTGGCTTATGGGAACTGATGAAGTAACATTTTAGAAACCGGGTAGAGCCTCAGTGAGACTGAAATAATTGCCAGCAATTAAAAAACTATTTACAGATCTCTAAAAGATGTCTCAGAGCCATTTTCAAGACTCTTGGGCTACTGACTCGATTTCTGAAAATAGCCGCAGTATCAGCTGAAGGTGTATGTCAACACTGGGTTGAAGGCAAAGCGTGTGGCAGTACGGATGTTGAGAGGTGACAACCTAAATCACCGCTTACAACAAGGAGGCAAACGGACTAAAGATGCAGAAAGGGGAGTTAAGGCTCCAGCGGAGGACTTAGGCTCTGCTTGGATAAAGGTAGACCAAAATCTCCACCGGGCATATTCTTCTCCCTCCCGGTCCGAAAAAAAGGCAAGCTCTTCACCCCTTTCAACTCCCACTCCCTCTGGGTCTCTCAAACTCCCACCACCTCTTCCCTCCCCTGCGTCTCGCCAGGGACCTCCTCACTCCTTAGTCCAGGGCTTCGCCGCCAGGATTTCTTGCTGCTGTTTCTTATCGTATTTGTAGATTTCATCGATACTCTGAGCTTCCTGCATGTTGTTGGCCAATTCCCAGGTTTTCTGGGCCATACCGCTCCCAGACGCCGCCATCGCCGAGGAATCGGAGAAGCCGTCACCCGCACAACCAAGACGCAGCTTCACCTCGCTAGGTTTCCCGGTGCGAGCTTCGGACCCTCCCCACCACGGGCGCAAACTCTTAACTAGACTCTCGGGGCGGCCATGACACCTAGGACCGGAGGTGAGGTCGGTCCAGACCATTCGGGGAAGACAGGGGCCCTTCGGGGACAGGACGATGTAAACCGCAGTTACAGGAATAATTACAAAGACGGGAATTTTCCTGTGGCTGAGGCGACAACATCTTGTTTCGGAAAATTATACGTGTCAATTAGGGCAAACGCAATGACCGGGCGTGGTAATGGTTTAGCCTTCCACACCGGAAAAGGGCAAGGAACGTTGTGCCAGAAACTGAAATGAGCTTCTCTGCGCGCATTGCGCAGGCTCGGCCTCCGCCATATTAAAGGCGGGTGGAACCTTAAGAATGAGAAGGGGGGCAAGCCCTGTCTTCGTGTGGGTATGGGTAGCTTGAATGAAATAAGTTTGTTGAAAGACTGTAAGATAGGGTTGTCTATGGAAAAACAGATGTACGTAGTTCCGGAAGCTGATGGAGAGGAAGATCAACGTGGCATCCTATTTTCCTTCACGGTGACTCACTGCACATGCGCGAAAGCCCGGACTGGTCTGGAACTTCGCTTTCAGCTGGGCGTGCTCTAGCCTTGCCGGGAGAGAGTGGACACTTGTCGATTGTTGCGGTCTTGTGTTTTGGCGTGTTTGTGAAAGTTGACATCTACATATGCATCCTATGCCACTGCTGTTCGGAACACAGCCGTTACTCAGTTTTTGGAATAGGTCAGGATTAAATTTTCAGGACTGTTGTGAACCAGCTTTGTCCCCGGGGCATAATTAATCTCTACACCCCGATTGTTTTCTTTCTACAGTTAATCCGATGTTTAATGATTTCATTTGTTCGTTTACTAGCTTTCGGTCTTCTTTTCTTTCCGTCCCTTCTCTCCGTGAGTGCAAGGTTCTGAGTTTCAAGGCATGGGGACCAGGTCTGCATTCCTTGTTTTATCTCTAACACCTGGTATAGGTGTTCAGTTAACAAAAATACATTAACAAAATTTTTTTTCTTTTTGCTAGAAATAAAATAAGTAGCATCACAGCTCTTAATAACCTGTCCCTGCGCACCCCTCCAGCTTCATCTCTCTTTAGTTCCCTCTTAAACTTTTCATTCTAGCAATGCCACTACTTTTTCTTTGGCTTTGCATATGTGTCGCATTGCTTGAAATGCTCTTTCCTAACTTTACTGTTTAAGGAATTCACATTAATCTTTAAAAATACAGTTCAGCGAGATACACTATGACCGCTTTCACGACTGTCTGGTGACCCTTCCTCGATGTCTATAAATCTCTGTAGGTGCTTTTTATAAACGTTACAGTGCCTCGTAACAATCAGTTAAAAACAGAATTATCGAATCCACAACCTGCGATTTCGACATTGACTTCCAGCTGGAGAATATTTGTCTTTAAAACCACGTTACAAAGTAATTTAGGGTGAAATAACAGTTCATTAGTACACGTGGTTCCACTCTCCTGGAAGGCTAGAGCCCTCTCTTCTGGGGGTAGCATATGGCCACTCAGTATTGAGGTGAACTGAATAACATGTTGAAATTGGTAATGAGAGCTCCACGTTGACCAGACTCCTGGGCTAGGCGTCATGCCCCGCGAGGTGTGTCATCAGTTTTCCTCTTACTACCACCCTCTCCTTTTTTCTTCTCAGGCTTTGACATGGTTCCCAGGCCGTTGGGTGCATGGGGTTTTGGAGGGGCTCAGATTTAGACAGTTTAATAGCCCGTGGACGCAGCAACGCGGCGGCTCTGCGTCCTCCGGTACGGCAGGGGGCGTCCTCTGCCGCGCGGGCTTCCCTTGC